AATAAAATAACTTTTAGGATACCAACACCCCTCTACCCATTTCCCCCTTTACCCCTTAACCCCTTTTCTACCCCCATATAATTATTCATATTCAATATGTCATAAACTATTTTACTCTATGTTCATGATATAAATCTATTTAATCTCTGTTAGGAAAAAGAAGAAATTTATTAACGGTAATCGATTTTTCCCCTATCCTTCTCCTACTCCTTACCCCTATAGAAAAAAAAAAATTTAGATTGATCTGATTTCTATTCTAATGTGAAGGGCATGTATCAGTGTAAATAGAGATTCTGCATATTCGAAGAGAAAGAAGAAGAAAAAATAGAAAAAGGGAATAAGTGAGAGAGAGAGAGAGAAAGAGATAAAAAGATGAGTTTGAAATGATCGATGACCCTCGACTGACACACTATTGCCAATGCATTGCCATATTTCATACACACACATATGTTTAACTACATACTCGTTCAGGACAAACGCATAAGCTCATACACGTACGGATTTCAAATAGAAATCTATCAATTTTCTCATATTTAAGATTATTAATTTTGTCATAAATATACACATACATAGTCATATGAATAATTATGGATATATATTATGCACATAGGTTTGATTTTTATTTATTTTTTTTGTTCCCTATTAGTCGCCTCTTACGACAAGCAGGGATTACTGAGGGGGTATTCTTACCCGCCCCCTCACGGGAATTATTTATTATTTATGTAATAAATATATTATAATATTAAATTAAATGATAAATATTATTAATTAAATTAAATTATATATAAATTAAAATATATATATATATAAATATATAAAATGTATTATTAAATTTATATATATATATATATAATTAATTAATTATAATTTAATAGTATTTATGTATTATTTTAATGAATAAAATATTATATAAATTTAATAATTAATTAATATATAATTTATGTATTATTAAATTAAAATTAATATATAAAATATATCTATATATATATATATATAAAAATTTAGTCACATTATTAGTTTCCAATGATGTTCAAAACCCCTGAACCGATCTTAATATAAATCTCTTAGAATTATATTGAATAAACATTTTTAAAAATAAAATCTTTAATATAAAATACAAAACGATGGTTTCTCCAATGACATTAGTGGTTGGCCAACATTGATACTAAATTAGTTTGTAACAAGATCGCCACGAGAAGATGCGTGCTCGTTATACCTCGACAAAGGTAATTGGATATTTTCACCTGACATTTAAGTTCAAACAAAAGAGATGGGTCAGTTTAATACATTCTTGAGAACGAATTAATCATTTTCTCCCTACTTCTCATTCCCAACCCCACCTTTATCACCCAGTGATAATTTTTAAATAAAAATTATTACAGATCTAAATTACATTGGATTATTTCAACAAATAATATTCCTAATTTATTTTCTTTTGATTTTTCTTTTTATTTCTTGTAATATTTAAAACTTTAAACTTAAAACTTAAAACTTAAAAATGTTATCATCGTTGCAATTTTGCAATGATCAAAATTAATGATCATAATAATTAATTATTTATTTATTTAGTTAGTTTTCTTTTTTTTTGTTTTTTTTTTTTTGCAGGAATAGCAGATTCAAAAAAATGCCGACAAAGTTCGAATCACCTGACAGGTTTCAGTCCAGCTGCCTGTTTTACGTTTTACCTGTCGAACGAAATGCAATACGTTGATGTAACTTCGGCAGAACTTTGGTTTTACAAAGAGTACGATGAAAACGACGACTTAAATCAAACTTTTGTCTTATCGGAATTGGATCATTGGGACAAAAGTGAAAGATTCGAAAAGAACAATATTATGGCTATTTTCGACACCGATATTGGAGGTAAAAACAAATCAATAATTAATATTAAACATTTTATTATTATTATTATTATTATTATTATTATTATTAAATCACGTGGAGAATATAATTTAGAAAATTTAGTATTTGAAAAACTAATTCAAATTATTCTCTGAATATTTATTACAAAAAACTTTCTAAATTTTTTATTATTTTATTATTTTTAATATTTTCTATATTTTTTATTATTATTTTATATTATTATATATATATATATATATATATATATATATATATAATA